GAGGGGGGGGCGAGAAGAGAGAGAGAGAGATGGAGGGAGGGAGACAGAAGGGGTGGGAGGATGGACAGAAAGAGATCGAAGGGGGAGTGGGCGGGGAGGGGGCGGAGAAAATTTGCCAACGGAAAGAAGAAAATAAATGCATAAATTAAAAAAAGAAAGATCTTGGAGGTAGATTAAACACGATGTCTTTTAATTTAAAAAATTATAAAGGAGCAAAGGAATCATCCCTCTTTTGACAGGCGCTGTTAAGGGAAATAACTTATGACATTAACAAGGGAGGCTGTATGTATTGGTACAGTTATCCCCCATCCTCCTCTTCGTGTTTGTGTTTCATGAATTAACTCCTCCTAAATCACAAATGTGAGGCGTGCTGACAAAATGAGGCACTTCTCGTAATCCACGAAAGGAGTTGTTGTCGGAAAAAGAAACCATCAAATTTGTAGATTTTAAACTAATGTTCTTTTCATTAGGTTGTACATGTCTTTTATCATTTCATAGAATACACAGTCTAAACCGAACCTATAGATTATTCATATCGATCTGTGTCCTCATGGCTAAAATCCATGAACTGACTCATTTTGTCAGCACATCTCACAAATGACGAAGAGCGCAGCTGAGTGAAACAACACATTCAAGAGACACTCTTTCAACTTGCTGTCTACTGTGAAGCGAAGAAAAATGAATTGGTATGGTCATTTAACAAGACCGTGCGGCGTATCAAAGACCATTTTTCAGGGAACTGTGCAGGGAAGGAGAAAGAGAGGAAGGCAAATCGAGAGGTGGACCGACAACATTGCGGAGTGGACAGGGAAATCCTTTACCCAAACTCAGCCGCTCGCAAAAAACCGTGAAAAGTGGAGGCATCTGACGAAGCTCTTTGTCATACAGCGCCCCTACGGTCCTTGTGGATTATGGGATCAGTAAGCGGCAAAATATGTAATGTTTGTAGTCAACCAATCGTTACACAAACAATGCATTAGGCCCCAAATTTTTAGTGCCAATTTTTTAACAGGATCCCATTTAATTTTAAGTGTTCTCCC